TAGTACTGCAACTACTGGTAGGTATTGGCGTACTGTATTTTGTGAACTCTGGAATCTCTTTTCGTGACTTCATGTTTTGTCTCTAAAAGTAATAAGCTTTAACGAATAGGCTAGTTGCCTAAAAAAATTTTTTTAGTCCGTAATGTTTAATATCAAAAAATATTGGACACGTATAATTTTATTTGTCAATCTAACAAATAATTACATAGTTATGGTGCGTTGAAGTTGCGCACGACGTCACAACGTGCGGCATTTTTAAGCAAGCGTTGACGTCACGGGCCTCTTCTTATGAACTTTGGGGCGCTTTATCTCTTTAAATTTTAATTAGTTTGAAAAAGTGAAAAATACGAGTAGAGTATTTTTTGATAAGTTAACTGACGGACTAATTAAAACTCTTGCTTTTTGACCCAGGCAACATCCCCATTGTTGACTATTACAAATGGACGTTTTTGTCTAGTTGGCCATAAATTCGTCATTTCGTGATGTAACTTACGAAACTAGGTATTTCAGGAACATCTTTTTTATAAATAGCACTATGATGTCATGTTATAAGGTAAGCCTTTCTTTTATGGGACAACTGATGGATCGAATAACGACCCCTACAAGAGGATCAATTCTCAGGTGGGACACGTGAAAACTTGTGCATTTGATACCAGTTTATTTCGGAATGTCAAACTTGAGTGAAAAAAATAAACATGATTCTTAGTTGCAGTCAGATTAAGTCGTGTCAGACGTCTAAAAACACCTAGGTAGGTTGGGTGTGACCGGCACACCCTACCTAGGTGTTTGACTAAAGTTTTAGTCCTAAGTCGTTGCAACCCACGCGATGGGAGTACCCACGCTTTTTCTATGCAATTTTTCATATTATATTCCTGAGCATTTATAAATCTTACGAATGAAGTCATAGTAGAAATTAAGTTGCTATAATATTCTTTGTTCAGATTAAAGGTACAGTCACCAGCACATTACGTTACATATTTTTGTCGCGAAAAAGTTTTGCATAAGATGTTGCAGTTTTACTGATAACTATGGTAGTATAAGGCTGTAATGTATGGTAGTATAATGTATGTACGGTGCTGCTAATACAGACGAGAGCATATCAGACTAATATTTTTGGTGCAAAAACGCCCCTATTAAAACTGAATAAGATACCAGTGTTTAGCTAGAGGTGCTTGGTCTGTACAGTCAGCGTCAAATACTTCGTGACATCCAAAGTAGTCAAAAAGTTCGCAACACGTCTTTGTTACAATCGGAATAAGATTGTGTTGTCAACTTTTTGGCCACTTTTGATGTCACGAACTATTTGACGCTGACTGTACATACATACGCAGGGCCGGATCTACCTATGGGCTGATTGGGCTGCAGCCCAGGGCCCCGGGGTTACAAGGGGCCCCCAGATCCCGCTAAAAAGTAGGCCATAATTTGAAAAAAAAAAAAAAAAAAGTTGTCTGTAAAGTCGGTTTACGGACGATATTTTTACGTGACAACGTCATAAGAAGTTTCAGCCCAGGGCCCCACAAATTCGCGATCCGGCCCTGTACATACGGAATCGCTAGGGCATCTTACACTCGTTTTCCAACTAGAAGTCAAACTCTTCGCCGATGCCAAGCTCGGCTGGTTACCTATTTTAATAAGGTACTACGCCCCCAACCGTGACGTAGTAACTATATGAATTGCAAATACGTACTTTGTTTGTAGGGGCACTGATTTAATCACCTTTGTTAATTTTGCCGTAATTATCTGAGAGCATGGACACTCACAATCTTGGGCTACTTTTAATTGTTCTCTTGCACAATACGATGAAGAATTTCGGTAATTAGGTACTATAATGAGACAATGAGAGCTCTATTATAATAAAACGGACTATTTTATACCTCGAAAGATTTCGTAATACATTCATAGTAGTTCAATGAACGTTAGTAACATTTTGTTAATTTGGGCATGTGTAGGTGTGTTACTTTAGATTTAGAACAACTAGCAGCAGAGAGCCTGCGACGTCGTCTGCGCGTACGCAGAACATAATAAAATAAAAAATATAATATTGTGTACAGGTAGGTAAGTACCTGATATTATCAGATAGAGTTTCGGCCGTTACAGTTAATTTAAAATAGCATTGTGTTAGAAAATTACAAAAATAGAGTGCTGTCGGCGGGCCTATCATTACAGCCAAGAAAATGGTTGAATCATTGTCATTACTTTTTATTAGGCAGTAGCCTGCAAAAAGACAATAAGTTAGAGTATTGACTCATGATTGATACGGCTGTATTATTTCATTTTTATTAGCAGACTATTACTGGACGCAATTATTGGGTAGCACTTAAAACGTAATGTATTTGCAATCAATTGTAAAGACTTTGAACAACTACCTTCTGGCAGTTTTTGCTGGGGATTGCCGATGGCGGTACCTAAGACACCCCGCTACAGTTTAAGTCGGCCGATAGTTATAGTTAATTAGTGAACAAGTATTTAAGTGCGCACATAACATCGATTTGGTATCGGCCTGTGTCTAACAAAATATAAGTTTTCAAAATACGTACAAATGACGCGACGGCACAACAAGCTTAACATGGCATCATAATCAATTGTTATAGAGGCGATTTTTGCAAAAAAAAAATGTATAGTGGTGCTTGCTCTGAAATACAGATTCTTCCATCTTGCTCATACACATATGACTGTAATTGCGGGTCCAGAGAGAAAGGTGATAGCACCAAAACAGTAATTACAAAGTAGGGCTTCTGTCTGTATAGCACCGAAATAAGCATAAAAAGTCGCAAAATTAGCAAAAAATACACACAATTATGTTTAACTCAAAAAACATTAAAAAAGACCTTATTAAAATAACACATCAATGGATCAATGGATCCCTAATGCAATTCATTCACAACTATGCTAAAAACAGCAAAAAATGGGACAGCATAAGCAATCATAATCAAAAGTTTTCATCGATAATACCTAAATATTGTAATTTAACTTAGTTTTAGTTTTCAAATCGACTAAATAACCTTGAAAATGGTTGTTTGCTCAGCACAATAACTGAGGCGTAACTAAATTTAAGTATGGTACTTCTTTGCTTACATTGGTAGGTGGCAGTGAACTCACTCCTACTGTATATGTTATGTACTGCATAATCAGTCTTCCATTAAAGTATTTTTGGATTACATAAAAGTTTTAAAAAGATAATCCCTGGTAAGATGAAAATTATGGTCCCATGGATAAACATGTTTGTATAGTAAGAAAATGTTCACGCCATGGACTAATTTAAAATGTCTAACTTCAAGATTATGTTTTAACAATGAAATAATATAAATTTTGTGATAATAAAATTGGCCAAGTTACAAACAAAATCCAGTTTTATTCAATATTTGGCCTAATTTGTAAGTAACAGAACAAGTTTGGGTAAGAAATGTTTATAACATTTAGTTGAATTGATCAAAATTACCAAAATTGATTTAGTTAAGATATTTCATTCAATAATAGAAAATAATATAACCTATATTGTAGCTAATTATTGTTAAAATTGGAAATAAATACAGATATGAATCATGTAAATAAAATTAAATAAATTTAAAGGAGACAAAGAGCCTGCATTAGCTGAACAGGAGCAAAATTTTGATTACATTCAAATATTGATTACTACCCTCTAACTCTGAACACCCTATAAAATTATTTTAAAATCTATTCCTTGTATGTGATGTGAGCGAACTATTGGGATGAAAATTTCACAATACTGTTTGTAAAGAATATAAGCATGTGAAAGAAATGCTGATATTACTAAATAAATGCATCAATCTAGTAAATTCAAAGTCATTTAGGAAGTTTTCCACAATTTGTAAATGGTTCGGAGGTATGTAAATATTTTAACCAAAATCAACAACTGTTTGGGCATAACTCAGATTAATTGTGGTAGATTGTCATTCCAGTTGACATAAAAATAGTTTAATAAGTCTTCAATTAAAACAGTCCTGCAGTTTACTTGAAATTTTAGAGTGATTCACTTGTTCACTTACCTTGAAAGCTGGTCTGCCAGTTATTCCCCAGCCGGCAAGGAATAAACCTGTCCATATGTTCTGGCTGCACCAGCACTGGCTGTCTCTTAGTCACAGGGCTGCACTGCTGCAGTAAACGTCTCTCATACGACTCACTAAACATTGTGCTTTCAGTCCAAGTCCCACACACAAACTGAATTCAATAATACCTCTGCAGAGGGTAATGGAAGAATGAGACTAGATTAATTTATCGGGTAGCCTGTCAATCGAACATGCTTCGATGTTTGTATCGAATGGATAGTACTATCGCGACGACACACCAACGAGTGCTATCTCTTCGGCTACTGAGCACCATTTGACTACGTTTGACACGGTCGATAGCGTAAGAACCCAAGGCATCGTACACAGCCTGATAGTGATAAAACAATAAAATCTTCACTACTACATTGAACTGGGCTATTTAGTCAACGATTATAGTTACCCAATTTATCAGTAATTTAACTCCAAACCACAAAATTAGAAATAAAATTGATCGAAATACAATCTCGAAAGCGTGACATAAATAAACAAAGTGTTGCCACCAAAAAAAAAGATTTATTTGAATAAAAACGGTTGCTTTGACTTTTTCTTCAAAATAAAGTTTTCGATTTTGTACAATATCATTATCATCTAAAAATGGTTATAAATAGCATCAATTTTGTAAAATTTTTACCAACTTACCTATGTACCCGAGTAAAATTTGTACCCGAGTACATGAATGATTTTCCACAAAAGAAAACTAACCTGAATCTGAGTGAATGATATTTTTATAACCGCTTATTTATTATTTTCATAATATTAAATTATTTAAGATTTTAAATGAGAAAATTTCTAATATTTTCATAATAAAGTTAAATAATGGTTCGTCTCCTTATAAAATATCTGCTCGACGACAGTTTATGCTAGATCAATACTCCAAAGCTAAACAAATTAGAAAAAAAAGAAAAGGTGTCAGTGTCAGGCACAGATGTCAGGTGTCAAAAAATTATTACGATGTTTTTTGTGTGGTTTTTTGCAATTTCGTTGTTGATAGAAATTAATATTTAATAATTAATTGTATTTAGTTAGTTATTTGCGAAGTGCAATTCTAATAAAACGATATACCTTAAGCCCAGAAAATCTTTGAAGTAAAATCTTTTCTAAATCGTTACTTCTTACTTCAACATAAACATTTTATCATTAATTATATTAATCATTGTCTGCAGTCTGTTCTATTACATCTAGGATAACAAAATGGATTACCGGCGTAAAAGTAGCCGTAACGACGAACCAGCCCACGACACTCCATTACATTCTAGGCTGTTCATTGTAACTGAAAAAGGGGTGACTGAGACCGATCTACGGGATGCTTTTTCACGATTTGGTCATATAGAAGACATAAAAATACCACGAGACCACCATACAGGAGAGTCCAAAGGTGTAGCTTATATAAAATACTTTAAAACCTCTGATGCAGCTGCAGCTATTGAGGGTATGAATTTTAAATCACTCCCGAACGTTAATCGTCCAATAAAAGTAATGGTTGCTGCAAATCGCTCAGAAATTCAATCAGAGGACCACAATGAAGACAAATTTAAGCGAATATTTATTGCTGTTCCAAACTCTATGAATGAAGAAGAGTTAAAAAATGTATTTTCAGAATATGGCCCTGTGGAATATGTACGGATGCAAAAGGATAAAAACGGCGAGTCAAAAGGATTTGCCTATGTGAAATTCAAATTATTTTCAGAGGCCGCTAGAGCTATTGAAGAGTGTGCACCAAAATACAGGGCCATTTTTGCGCAGCCGAAAAGTCAAAGACGTCCTGGTCCTGAAACATATTTTGAAAGTAACATTGGTCAACTGACTGCTTCCACAATGAATATGACGAATTCTCTTATGTCCGCAATGAATACTCAGCCTGACGGCTATACCTGTGTCAATTTCATGTGTAATCCTAATATCAGCCAAAACCAAATCAGAAAAATATTTGACATTGTACCAGGAATGACTAGTTGCCAATTATTTTTTGACTTAGTTAATAATTGTAGCAAGGGTAATGTCGCATATTCAAATCCTGTCTCAGCTGCATATGCTGTGAAGAAACTACATAATTTTGAATATCCTCCAGGATGTAGAATATTTGTAAAACCAAATTACAATAAATTTCCACCCGTTGAAAAAGGTTCCGAAAGCATCTCAAATGCATTTACGAACTTGAAAAATGCTATCTCATCACAAGCAAATTCGTCTTCCCCTGACTTGGTTCAATTAGCTGCAGCAATAGCAGAAGCGTCTAAATTAATTAAAAAGGCCGCTGCCGGTGTGACTGACGATGAAATACCTGACGGCAACGATTTAAACTATTGCAGTGTGTCGCTGCCACCACGACAACCTCTAGCAGACATTGACAGTACGGTTGCTAAGAGGTGCTTTTTGGTGTGCAAACCTCAGCCTCCTCCGCTCCCTGTTTTGCGTGACATTTTTTGCAGGTTCGGTGACCTTATTAATGTGTATACATTGCCCGGAAAAACTGTTGGTTACGCTAGATACGCTTCAGCACAAGCTGCAGACAATGCCATCAAAACTCTGCACGGAGCTGAGGTTTGTGGTGTTGTTATGAAGGTATTAGAGGCAGAAGAAGCTCCCCCTAAGAAAGTGAAATACGATCACTGACAAGCTAGATGACAAGGACGAGACGAATACATCTACAGTACTGTTCAATTAAGACCAATGTAGTTTTTACTAATAAACTTTTTTACTATTACAGACATCTTTTCAAACTTTCCTATGACCCAAGTTAATGTTGACTTTTAATTTGTCTATAGGCAGGTACACAAACAACTAGGCTTATTTGACACTGGGCAACAAAAATTACAATATTTCTAAAGACAGACAATCATTAAGTGTTAGGACATTCGGACTTACAAAGGACCTTGCATCCTTGATGATGGATATAGATCAGCGTTGCCAGTTTTTTTTTCGCCAAGTCGGGGCTTTGGTACTTTTTGAGTGAAAATAGCGGGATTCTTCCGTCAAAAGCGGGACATAGTAAAAAACGTATAAAATCAAAGGTTTTCAAATATTTATCTTTTTATTTGACTTAAAATTACGTTTACGTGACAATAGATAGCAAAAGTAGCCATAGAAAATGTATTTTAACAAAAAAATCATATTTTAAATCAGATTTACTTTATCGTTAAATTCGTCTTTAGAATAAAAAAAGAAAAAATAAACCAAAATCGAAATAAAAAAAAATATTCTTTAGAATAATATGGCGTTTCAAACAATAGTCTGGTGAAGTGAATGTCTCCGAAAAGCGGGACCGAGCCTGTCCCGCGCGGGACATATAAATTTTATTTAAAAATCGGGACGTCCCGCCAAAATCGGGACGTCTGGCAACGCTGATATAGATTGACATTCATCTTTAAATCTTAAGGAGTTATAATAAAACTAAATACATGAACTTAAAAGTAAATTTATTGCACACACAGCCTTGTTGCTTAATGTAAATAATTGACAATGTAAAAACGCAATGGCATCAAAAAACAATTCATATTGACGATGACTCCACCATAGCTTGTCTGAGTAGGGGCAACAACTCTTCCCTATAAAGCGGATGTTTGTCACCGTGTGTTATTTTTAATATCTTTTCTGACAATTTAAACTGACTGAGTGCCTTATCCAAGTCCATTTGGTATAGTAATATTTTGCCGTACTTAAGATGCAGCAGTCCAAGTAGAGGATGCCGGTCTCCGTAGTAAAATCTGTAAAACAAAGAAAAAATATTATAAATTTTACCTGAAGATAACGAGGTAAAACTAACTCTTCAAACAGAGTTCAACTAGGGACTAGTTGCTAGGGTGTAGCTTTTTATTAATAAGGGGGTTAATAAGTAATGAAGAGTTGGGTTCCTAGTAAAAAAGTGGTTACCGTCACGTCTAACTAATAATATAATAAGTTAATAAATGAAAAAATAACTATTCCACTTAAATTAAGTAGATCTTAACGACAAGCTGATGAAGTTCAAAATACGATGACATCTACACTCTAAAAAGGGGAAAAACTGACCTGAAACATGGAATCAGCATGTCTGCATAAACACACGCTTTCTGCCACATCTGGACTTGTATGAGGGCATCAAACGCGTGGTCCAGAGTCTGTGCGTGCATCACGTTCAAATGGTGGAGCACACCCTCTTGTCTTTCCAGGCAGTACTTGCAGACGTCCACATCTGTGTTACTTATAAGGAAAATATTCGGGTATAGTCTGATCGCACACTCACTGCGGGCGCCCGTCGCACAGTCGCGATAGCAATATAATTACGCGCGATAAGAATGGGTAGCTTGGGGTCATTGGACGAAATTCTACGTGCTCGGAGACCGCGCTTTAGTTCAATCAATCAATGACGTTTGGTCATGTTATGAGAATCACGTAATTGAAGTGCCTTTCCATCGCCAGAAAAAAGAGAAAGACCTCAAACCAGCTGGATGACTAAAGTCCAAAAAGACATGAAATGAAAGTATTGGGCCTCCACAAACAAGACGGTCGAGATAGAAAGAAATGGTGGCGCATAACGGGATAAGGCGAGGCAGAAGAAGTTCAATTAACAAAGTATGTTATTGTAGTTGAGACCTTTTTTAGTCTACTACTAAAAAAGGTCTCAACTTTGATTATTCATACCATCCGACTAAAAAATTTTAAGGCACTGACGAAATAGTTTTCAAGAATAATTCTAGCGTTCCCATAAATTCCCACAAAATAGGACTAAGCGGTAAACAGAAAATATAAACATAGTTGATTGATTTTCAAAAGGATACATGCAACCGAAGCCTCCTTCATATTCCGTAAATGCAACTCTGTGAACTCCATCGCTTTCACAAAATCCTCAACATGCTTATCCGTATACTTCGTCCCGCATTCGTCGCATCGTATCACATCGTTTGCTATTGATATGTTGGCTGTCAGTTCTGTCAATCCGTTTATGCTCTCAGTATTCTTATTTTCATTGACATTAGTGTTACTGTCTGGTGTCCTCACTAATGGACAGTTTTCCTTCCATTTGATCACGACTGGGTTATCACAAGACGCGTTCAGACATTTCCCTGCGTGCACCATTTTCAGCTGCGTCTCATCTGGAACGTAAACGGTGTTTTAAAGGATAATGGAAAAATCTAGATCTTTAACTACTGTTGCTTGTGTGCAAAACTGACGCATGCTTAGGGCGTAAGCAGACAGCTTTGAACAAGCCTGCCCGATGGAATACAAAATAAAAGAGTACAGAGAAAGATGTGTGTGATCAATCCAACAGATTTTTCAATTGGTGAATACAAGAGTCAAATCAGAAAAGAGTTGTGAAATATTGAAGTCAGTGGATTTATAAAACTGAGTAAACTTTGTGTATCTTAACTGAAAGAAAATTGTTCCAAAAGAGCAAATAAACAAAATCGTTTAGAATACAGCGTAACCTGGACAGTTGGATCTCAATAGTAATGATCGCTTATTTATCAAGGATACCTTATTATGGAATTAAAAACAGTATAAAAGATTAGCTTATGGAATTCAAGTATCAGTTATAAAAGATTTTTCCCTTGACCAAGTTACACTGTATTATGTATCGCGTACGGAATATGCACATCTAAAGCATTTACCCATGCACCTGTCACATTGGCACAAGAAATAATAGTTCTCTAACAGCTCTGTCTGTCTCTCGTAGGGCGTCTTCATCAGATCTATGTACGATATTCTCATCTGAAAAAGAATATAACTGGTTTTCAACAGTATCTTAGCAGCATAAAGTTCAAATTGTTGTAACGTCTATTCAGCTTCTGCTTAGTTAATAGAAGAAGAAACAAAAGATGGAAGAGAAATAGAAATTAAATTGCAGTGCAATCCAAAGGCACAGTCAGCGTCAAATAGTTCGTAACACCCAAAGTGGCCAAAAGGTTAACAACACAACCTTATTCTGATTGTAACAAAGACGTGTTGCAATGTTTTTGGGTACTTTGGGTGTCAGGAACTATTTGACGCTGACTGTAAATGTATGGAGTTCAGAAGGCCCAGTGTGAGTTTACATCAAACGCGCTCACTATATTCAGAAAATGATAGTATTTTTAATAACGGTTAAAATAGTAACCTACCTGCGACCAGTCTAAACAACTCAAGTCCTTCGTGGCCCGGATACTGATAGTTTTGCCGTCGAATGTGGCCACTGCATTGGGCTCACAGCTGTGGTCCAAAATCGACGCTGCCAGGTATATGCCGGTACCGATGGAGTTCATGTCGATGTCTAGGATCGTGAAACTGTTGATTACCATCTGGAATGGGAATATTGATGTTTTAATGAGCTAGAGTCTCCCAGTAAAGCATAAACTTAATGGTAAAGGTTTCTGAAATAAACAGAAGTTCTGTTATCGTGTGGGTTGTAATAAATGAGGCGACAACCCTTCCCAACCCAGATTTTTTTTATGGTCGAAAGGGGGCGCATGAGCGCGTCTCAAATAAGTTTGGGAACCAATGGTCTACGCATTCCGTATAATAGATAAGTAAGTCGTCAAAACACACCCTTCCGTAGATCCCCATGAGCTCGACAGTATTCGGCAATGACAAGTCCTTGAGGAATTCGTACAGCACCATGCACAATGATGTGAAGTGGTCCATCCTCTTCTTGTCTGTCTTCAGGTCGGAGTAATCTGCAATAGCGAATTTTGAAGGTCAATTTTGGGACGAAAGTTACAAGTGGATGGGAACAGTATTATTTTAGAGCACATAAAGGTCAAGATTTTTTTGGTCTCCATCTAATCAATTATGTACTGTCATAATCAGTACTCAATAGACTAAATGATGCTTCTATATTTCCTAGGGTATCCGTTTAATATTATCATATTATATGGGTCAGCAACACATTTTTTATAGATAGGTAGGTACCTCATCAAAACAATGATGTGCTCAAGTAGTTTTTTTATAATTGCTTAGTTTATCACTGAGCCAATATTCGTGCTTGAGACACGTCACCAGCGGCAAAGAATCCGGCTCGAAGGACCAAAAAATGTAGGTATCTGCTTAAACTTACGCGACATGAGATCTTTCCACATCCGAAACGAGTTGCCCGTGTAGAAGGCGCGGTAAGAGTGCCCATCTCCACGGCTCAGCTTGTTGATGATCTTGGCAAGCATGCGAGCCGCATCCGGGATCACTTTGGGCGCCACCCGCTTTAGGTTGGCGCATTCCCACTGGAAAGTGTGGAAACATTATGATATGAAATTCATAATACTCATTATTATAACACTTTGCTGGACAGTATAATTTAAGAGTTACTTCCCAAATGACACTACTTATCAGCGTTGCCAGTTTTTTTTTTCGCCAAGTCGGGACTTTGGTACTTTTTGAGTGAAAATAGCGGGATTCTTCCGTCAGAAGCGGGACATAGTAAAAAAACGTATATAATCAAAGGTTTTCAAATATTTATCTTTTTATTTGACTTAAAATTACGTTTACGTGACAATAGATAGCAAAAGTAGCCATAGAAAATGTATTTTAACAAAAAAATTATATTTTGAATCAGATTTACCTACTCTATCGTTAAATTCGTCTTTAGAATAAAAAAAGAAAACAGTTAAAAAGTTTTATTCTTTAGAATAATATGGCGTTTTAAACAATAGTCTAGTGCAGTGAGTGTTGTCCCGCGCGGGACATTTAAATTTGATTTAAAAGGCGGGACGTCCCGCCAAAATCGGGACTTCTGGCAACGCTGCTACTTATTCACATATTGCCTTTGGGAGCAGTTTCAATGTTATACTAATAAAAACTATGATGTCTGTAGGCGTTCTGTCGTATCATCCTTTACTAACTGAACGCTGGTGGACGTTACTGTCCATCAATGTGTTAAATTATAAAATAGAATGCGATTGTATACTTCTGACGACATCTTTTGTCCATTTTCATTGAAGGAAAGTCTCACACTAGTTGAACTATGAAATAGAGGGGAAGAACCACTACTTTGAATTTTATGACTGCCCGATTTTAGTCTACCAAGCAAGCCAGTAATTTAGGTAGGTGGAAGATTTTGAAAAAGAAGAACGGTCACGCCCCATACAAAAAAAAACCCAGACCCGACAGAAACGAGACATACCTCAGTTTTTTTGTCATGTCTTAATTAGTCAAATTATATATTTTTTATATTCGAAATCTATGTATAACACCAAAATATTACCCTTTGTTTTTGTTCAGGCGTTATACAAAAACTAATACAAAATGCCTATTTATCACCAAAATTGGTAAATGTATGTACCTAAATGTCTATTACAGCTGTTATGGAATGTATCTAGGTGACCTGGAGATACAGCCGGATTATACAGGTGGTTATACATATGGAACGATAAGTGATCTCACTCGATTATTTCTAAACTATACAAGATATCGAAAAACTAGTTACTGATTCTGAAAGTGCTTCACGAGCTCTTTCAAATGGTACCAATAATAGGTTACAGATTATGGAAGCTGGTAACATTGAATTTTTGGATTTTGTAACTTCTCGTTTCCACCCTGTATAATCCGGCTGTATCTCCAGGTCACGTAGATACATTCCATAGCAGCTGTAATAATTATTTAGGTAACTATATACATTTACCAATTTTGGTGATAAATAGGCATTTTGTATTAGTTTTTGTATATTACGCCTGAACAAAAACAAAGGGTAATATTTTGGTGTTATACCTACATAGATTTCGAATATAAAAAATATATAATTTAACTAATTAAGACATGACAAAAAAACTGAGGTGTCTCGTTTCTGTCGGGCCTGGGTCACAGATGACCGTTCTTCTTTTAGTAACTTACGAATTTGTTTGTAAGAAAGAGAGCGATGGATTTAAATCTTTGAGGCAAAAAATACTATTGTTTGTTTCTCAAACACAAGGAAAAAATTCTTGCCAGAAACAACGTGCGTCATCTAAAACATCAACAAACATATGCCGCCATCGATCATAAAGCTCAAATGATACGATTTATTCTCAGCAATCGGTATCTATTGCTGCTGCAAAGGTAAGCTAAAAATAATAGAAACTGTTACATCAGGAAATGGCAAACGGCCACGAAACGTATCTGGTACGCGTCAGGCGCGAAATAAATGGGCGTTTGACAGCGCAGGCGAGCCCCGAAATATTTACGGTCTTTCGTTTTTTTGGCGCGGGAAATCAAACGATGTTTTACCAGAGAATTATGTTTTATTTCAGCAGAATCAGATGCGTTTAATAAATTAAGGCCTTGATCAATGCCAACAAGTAAGATAATTTTCGCGCGCAAAACGTAATCGCTACTAACTTTCAAAGTTTACGGCGCGCGCGCAGCGTGTTTTATTCTTTTTATGTGTAGACAAATTGGTCACATTGCAACTTGCCTTTACTTTATTAGGTTTTTTTTTATTTCAGTTTTGATGACCGAATGCAAGAGTGCATTCATAGAAAGAGAAAGTAACTCTAGGCGCAGACCGCAGACCACCGATTTTTAGTTGGCCGATAGTTGGGTCGTCGGACTGTTGATCAGTTTGGAGATGTATGAAAGTGCGCACATTACACCGATTTGGTATCGGCCGATTCTTCATACAAATTAGAATCGGGCCCGACTATCGGCTAACTAAAAGTCGGCGGTCTGCGCCTAGGCTAACTCGTGTAGGTATCTTAGCTAGGGCCTAAGACGACAAAATCCGTTCTTCAGCTCCTAACTTTTAGTCTACCTACAATCAGCGGTCGGTACTACACTCGCGAGCAAAAGTATGGAATCACTTACATGAAGTTGTTTCCACGCGATCTTGTGTAGTAACGAATTTGTTAGTAACTAAAAAAGTAGAATCATTTTAAAGATTAAACTTTTAACTTTAAATTGATACCAAAAATCATTTAAATCACACCGGTATTTAAAAAGATATCCCGGCTGATGTGAAGAAGTAAGAAAAAAGACATGTACCAACTGTTTGATACATCGCGAGTTGCGGCCTATTTGCCCCCTATAAAAGGATGTGTTTTCGGATTTTTGCGTTCACACGTTGATCCATACACATCTCGGCTTCTTTTGACACTTTACCTGGGATTCTACACCTTCAGAAGCAGCACAAATCGTTGCACTATTGCAAGAAGGGCTAAGCCAGCGGGCTGTCGCACGTCAGCTCCACATAAGCCAGTCCTGGGTTTCAAAAGTTTTAAGACGCTTTCGGGAGACTGGTGGCTTTATCCCGAGACCAAGTTCTGAACATTGCCGGTGCACATCGCAGAGGGAAAACCGTTTTTTCATGTCAACTTCTCTACGAAATCGTCATTTGACTGGTATCGACGTCCAGCAAGAGCTCAGAAATGTTCGTAGGATAGCTGTTAGCGAGTGGACAGTTCGTCTAAGATATGAGCAATAAAATTTGACTCCAAAAAGGCCTGCCACAGGCTGGAAACTGACGGCAGGTCGCCGACAAGCACGCTTTCAATTAGCTCGCACTCGGGAGGCGAGTAATGGAGTCGAGTTTTGTTCTCCGATGAATGCAGACTGTTTTTGCAGTGCAGCAGTCGAAGAGGTCGGGTCTATAGACGGCCTGGGGAGCGATTTGTGCAGTCCTGGTTCGCTAAAACATTGGCTTATGGGGGTGGCTTGCTCGACTTCTCATCGAGATGTGTAGGAGCAAATTGAAAGCGTGCTTATCGGTGACCTGCCGTCAGTTTCAAGCCTGTGGCAGGCCTTTTTGGAGTCAAATTCTATTGTTTATATCTTAGACGAACTGTCCACTTGCTAACAGCTATCCTACGAACATTTCTGAGCTCTTGCTGGACGTCGATACCAGTCAAATGACGATTTCGTAGAGAAGTTGACATGAAAAAACGGTTTTCCCTCTGCGATGTGCACCGGCAATGTTCAGAACTTGGTCTCGGGATAAAGCCACCAGTCTCCCGAAAGCGTCTTAAAACTTTCGAAACCCAGGACTGGCTTATGTGGAGCTGACGTGCGACAGCCCTCTGGCTGAGCCCTTCTTGCAATAGTGCAACGATTTGTGCTGCTTCTGAAGGTGTAGAATCCCAGGTAAAGTGTCAAAAGAAGCGGAGATGTGTATGGATCAACGTGTGAAAGCAAAAATCCGAAAACACTTGCTTTTATGGGGGGTAAATAGGCCGCAACTCGCGACGTATCAAACAGTTGATACATGTCTTTTTCCTTACTTCTTTACATCAGCCGGGATATCTTTTTAAATACTGGTGTGATTTAAATGAATTTGGTATCAATTTAAAGTTAAAAGTTTAACCTTTAAAATGGTGCTACTTTTTTTGTTATTAACAAATTGGTTTGTACACAAGATCGCGTGGAAACAACTTCATGTAAGTGATTCCATACTTTTGCTCGCAAGTGTATTTTTGTTGGCTTCAGTGGCATCTATTACGAGCGCTTTGGGCGTATATGACGTTCGTTGATTTACTACACCCATTTATTGGGTACTCAACCAAATCTTGGCTATTTGAAGTCTATTAATAAAGTTTTTAGGGCTCTGTCGCCGAAGCTATGAAAATACTAATTTAAATGAATTTAAGAAGCTATGAAAATGAAATTGTATTGTTTGAATGTTGTATAGCTTATTGTTGTCTCTTATCTCGCTACATTGAATGAGGGCTATCGTTTTTATACTTAACAGTTGGCACCCCTGGCAATTGACAGGACCTTACTCTACAGTGGCGCCATCTTGATGAGTGCAAATGCGATAGTCCTCCTACTCACAAGTTGGCGCCACTGTCTTCGCGACTAGCAAGTGACAGGACCTTACTCTACAGTGGCACTAACTGGTGAGCGCTAAAACGATAGCCCTCATTAACAAAGATATACACGCTAATGTTTGCATCGTGCAAGATTCGAATGCGCGACCTATGACAATGCGTCCGAAATGGCATGGCTTAGTATGTTCTAGACGAGCTCTGGTCCCTACGATAAAATTTATTGGAGGCCTTTTCAACTAAAAAAGGACATTAAGGATCATCTGCTAAGGACTGCGATCTGGTAAAGGTTGTGGGAAGAACCTAGATGCGGGCAGCGCAGGACCGTTCAATAAGGAAAACCTTGGGGAAGGCCTTTGTCCAGCAGTGGACGGAAATTTGCTGAAACGACGAAGGATCATGAGGCTTTTTTCATCAAAAAAATGACATTGTAATTTTTTTGGGCAGGTGATTATACAAATTAACACACCAAATTAAAGTTATATTGGTTACTACATCAAACAAGCCTTGACAATAACATTGGTACGCTACATTCTACTCCACATACCTTGTGATCAGGCCAAGCATCTTTCTGGCATGACCTGCCGCAGTAGTGAACGAATTGGCATCCCGAACATTTCAACACCTTGCCCCTGAAATGCAGAGCTTCTGTTGTGACTAAGAACTGTATAAATGAACTAAAGATCCTATCTATATGAGTAAAGCATTGAGTGATAATAGTAATAGTAGATGTTGACAATTTATTTTTAAATAATTTGTTTTAGCTGGCTTTTAACTGTAAAAAATGCCTTGTTTTTTTTGTATTATATTAAAGAAAAATAAAGTAAATGTTACTTCTGGTTAGGTAGAGAAAAAAAAATTTTTAGCTTGAATTATAAGTGCACATATTATTTTTATTAAACAAGAATTAAGGTCGCAGATGAATTATCCAACAAACAAAAAAAATAATTCCTACCCTATTATGTAATGTATGACTCATAAATTAATGATAAAGAATCAAATTTCATTCACTAAACAATTATAATAATATTGAAAACTTTTGTATGTGTTTGTAGAAGTAATTTTACTTACTTTTCTAAACAATTGTCACATCGGCTTCCTTTTTCTTTTGACGACAAAACGAACACAAAAGGTTGCTCAATTAATATTAAATCACCGGCTTTGATCACCGAATCGGTGTTCCTATACTTATTTTTCATGTCTTTTATTGCTTTGTGTATGAGGTAGGATGGTAACTTAGAATCTACTTATTCTTATAGATAGATACTACTACACCGTACGTATTCGAAAGTGAATGTGATGGGAATGTAAGCGTTCAGGCAGAAGTTACGTGCGAATCTGAAAATATTACTGGCCGCGCTACCTGCTACTCCGAACAGCCAATATCAGTTACATTATTTTTAGTCTCGACGCGGCCGGCATATGAAGCACAGAAAGCTAAAACAAACAAAAAAACGCCCTAATATTAGACTTGCCAGTCGACGGTTTATTTATTTATTTTGTTTTGGAAGAGAAATGACAAAACGAAATAAAAATGCGAGAAGGAAGAGCGCAATACAAAAAAAAATTGGAAGTCAATTTTGACGTTTCTGTGGGTGACAGTTGACACTGACAACCGTGTAAAGAAAATTTGGAATAATGGCAATGGGCAAATTGAAATTTGTCTGAGACTAGGAGCACATTGTTCTTATGGAGATAACTTAGTTATTATAACTCTCGAAAAATATTATACCATGACCATATAATGCACAATCACCACAACGTTTTTCATAATCCACTTCATCCACTCCATGTTTGTGAACTATAAAATATTTTTGCCTACTCCATATTTATTGCCTAGCTTTTTTGCAATGTACCCTTGTGAAAATGTTGAAACCACATGAAGCCATAAATTGAATTAAAAAAAACCACAACGGTATTTGACAATGACAGACAGTCGTTAAAATAATGTATTTCTTGTGTATGAACTTTTGAGGTTATTTTACACAAAAACAAATTAACACCATCGAAAAATAGGCTTAGTATTGTCTAAATTTCAATTTTCTATATTACTTGGAATATAAAAATGTCACTCATAGTAACCAGAGCTTCCTTGGCACTGAAAAATGCAGAACAAAACTTTCAGGCTGTGAAATTTGAAGCACATAAACCTAAGAAAAAAACAACTGAAACTGCAAGTGAAGATAATACCAGGCCACAAGTAACTCCTTATAACAAAAAGGATTTAGAACTTAAGAAAGTTCGGCATGAGATTGTGAAGTTTGGAATGTCTGGATTTGATACTACAAAGAAAGAAGAAGCAAGAATAGCTCTAGCAGTTAGTTTAGGTAAGATTTTTATTTCACGCAGTCTGTCTTGGCCCGATAGGAGATGTCGCCATTTACTTCAATCTTGTGCGATATCATTACGCCTAGGGTTGCCAGGTCCAAACACACAAAAGCCGGACTCTGTGCTTCATTTGGCCGGACATGTTACCCTAAAAGCCGGACATGTGACGGGGAGGGGGGAGCCATACACCTGCCAACCCTACTACTGACAGAGCGCGAGTCGTGTATCTGGCGACGAGCCGCGAGGGCTTTTTGCAAAATGTAAAAGGCCTAACAAAAGCCGGACAAGCCGGACACCGGTTATTTTGGCCGGACACCCAATCAAAAAGCCTAACTATGTCCGGCTTTATCCGGACGCCTGGCAACCCTAATTACGCCAATCGCCTGCTTCATATTTATTTACCTACTAATAATAGTTAAAATTCTCTGTCTAACCATGTGTAAAAATCGTGGTATTTTTGTTCATAGGCGCCAAACCTCCAAAACGCGAGTATTTGAACTACAAAGAACTTATGCAGAAGAGGAAGCAAGAAAGACAGAAACAGAAGGATGATAAGCAGGCAATGATATCCAAGAGTATCCTGCAGACTGGTGGTAAAAAGAAGAAGAAGGCTAACAATGATGTTGGACATTTCTTGAGCGGATATGGAAAGGTAATCAAAAGAGATTTAATCAAGATTTTTTTTCTATCTGCGATCAGCCATCAGCCTTTATTAGATTGGATGAATTTGTATTAATGACAGTTTAGGTTCTGCACATCCCATGATGTGTCACCTCGTTTCCTTACAATAACTCTTCAGGTCGATGCTATTTGCTTTCTCCTGAGCCTTCAACAAGCTTATTTATGAGAACTAAAACTTTAATACAGTTTTTACTTTTCACAATAGATAATTATCATTATCATGAAATGAATTATTGAGTATATTTTAGTGGAAAATGATGACATGAATTCAAAATGTTCATTGTTAATATGGGAATCGAACCCACGACCATCTGCTTGCCGGGCAACTATAGTTTTTTTGTGATTTTTGAGAGTGAGATGCAACTCTTAATACTAAAAAATAACTGATCATCTAAATTTTATGTCTAACCATAGGGTGAAGCCTTTTCATTGGATCCCAATATAAAAGAAAATCAGAATTTACCCAATGTTTATTTTTATTTTACAGGTACAGAAAAAAGATCTAAAGAAAAAAGATGCTGCTCCTAAGAAGGATAAGAATAAGAAAAGGATAAAGTTATGATAATTTTAATGATTATTATTATTGTTTGTAAATAAAAGTGCTTATTATTTCAATTAATTTTGATTTTTACTATTTCTTCCTCATTATTATAATATTGAATTTGCTTTTATATGAACAAATTAATAATAAGTAAGTAGGTCTGAAAGATTCATAAATTTTTAAGTTAAATGAAAAGAAAACAAAGTAAATATCATTTACATACACAATATTTATGTATTTCATAAATTAATATTGATTTACAAATTGATATAAATTACAATAATATTTACAAAAGTACTTAAAGCTACTACAAGAAGTCCTTAACAACTAACTCACTTTCGCTTGAAAATATGTCTTCTTTTCTGCCACCCTGAAGTAAATGTTGTTGTGGAAAAGCTCTGTTCTTGATCACATGGCTTGAGATTACAATGAGAAGGCGAAGACGGTACCTTCCATCATGAGAATGTCTGAAAGACAACTCATAAAAAGTATATACTAGGGATACTCAATACTTTTTCCAAGGCCTCCTTTCAACTAAGGAAACGGCTGACTTCTTCAGCTGTTTAAAAATATGCTTCTTTTTCTTCTGCACTCCCGAATCCACTGTCTCTGTAGAAGTGAACTTCGCTTGACCCGAGTTCTGGTCAGAGTCATCTGCGTTGCTGGAGTCTTCATTGTATGCAGCAGAGAAGTCGCTTTCAGAAGGTATCCTCGCCATGGAAATGTCGGCGAAAGAATCACGTCGCCTCTGACTGTGGTCCCTCGAATAGGGCTTCCTTCTGGCAGGCCGAGATGTGACCGTTCTCAGGTACTTCTCAGAGGAGAAGGTCTCGGTGGGTCGGTCGACGAGGGCGGGGATGCATGTCAGCCGGTCCACGGTCGTGTCCAGGTCCACAGGAACGCCCCACTTCCGGTCCAGAGCGCGGAACGCAGCTGACAGGTGGAGGTGAAGTTCCATTTTCAAAATTGAGATGTTGTCTTATTGAAGAGTTATCAGTGTATGATGCGTTTGCTAAAATTAGTGCTCTTTATAAATGGATCAGACGTTACCCCTTCCCACAGTCATTAATTTTTCATCGTTACAAATCACGTGATGATTAGTTTAGTTAGGTTGTTAATGGTTTATTTCAGTAGTACCTAATGGGGTGTCTAATGTGAAGTTCATTGACTAATTAGGTATGAAGTGATTAGGGTAGCTTCTATGTTTAATGACCAAATAATAATAATTGAACACCTAAGTAGAATAAGTAGGTAGGTAGGTACTTACATTAGAGCAAACTTACATTGTTGCAGTTTTGAAAAAGAAGGAGTTAGGAAGTAAGTAAATAAACTTATTTGGATATCTATGGAATTTTATAGGTAGGTAATCTATCTATATAAATAAAAATGGGTAGTATTTAAACGAGTGACTGTAAATTTATGTTGTAAGTGTCAAAAATAATTAATGTGGGCTAAAGAATTACTAAGTGAGCGACTGAGTGCGAGTGACGAAAAATCAAAAGAACAGCAACTTACAAAAAAAATTGAGTTCCTTAACCCTATACTTGGCAACGACGGTTTTGGTTAATATTTGTGATTTACACTATAAATATTGGATTTAGGACGAGTAAAAATCATGTAAAAAATACGAAAAAAAATCTTAGGTATGTATGTAGTTTTGGAAATATAGTATGTATCTTTAAGTGCACATTGCCAGCTTTGTAGTAAATCAAAAAATGGTTTATTTGTTAGTAAAAATTAGTTATTTAAATGAAAATTACTACAAAACCTTAAGCTATTCCTTATTTGAGAAATAAAAAATAANTTACATAACATAAAATATTCCTTTTTGGTAAAGGAACACATTGGCATATTTATTTTTTCATAATTCGGCACTTGATTTTTGAGCGACCCTAAGTCTATGAAGCTCTAATATCAGCCCACCGTGCGCCGTCACGTTGACGCAGGCGCGTCGCATTGCGTTGACCTCGCGGGCTCGCGGGCTGCGCGGGAGACGGTATTGGTGGACTATGACTCTTGGAATGCGTAGAAGATAAATCGATTTTAAGAAAATATATTTATTTTTATTTGTGCTAAATGGAAGAAGTCGTGTATTAATAAATAATAATAATAATAATAATTAAATATCTTTGGACAATCTCACACAGCGCCATCTAGCCCCAAAGTAAGCAATTAATATGCTTGTGTTATGGGTGCTAGCTTAACGGATATACTACTTATATACTTTTTTTTTAAATACATACATATTATACATAGTAACACCCAGACCCGTCACAGAAGTTAAAATTCATTATTTCAATTTCTGCCCGGCCGGGAATCGAACCCGGGACCTCTCGGCATAGTAGTCCGTTCTGAACCACTACACCAAACGGCCGACAAATGTAATTATGTTGCATTGCACGTGAATTGGGTCAGTCGAAATCTGTCCGGTCAACTTAGATAGAACTGAAAACTACATAAGGAAAGTTATAGCAAAATCAGATATAGGTAGTTTACATAATGTGTGATGGGACTTTTTGAACGTGGTAACCATTTATAAGCCATTATTGGACGAGGAATTAAAAATTATTGAACGACATTATCTTATGAGACCACTGCTGTAGTAGAGATTGCAAAGCATTTATTAAATTCAATAGGTGATCTTGCAAGTAATGGCCAGTGGCCACATTCAAATTGTATCCTCTTTAAAGAAGAGTTCGACGAACCTACTAAACGATTCAGGCTCTGAATCTTAGTTGAACTTAGCGGATTAAAATAAACAACTATTTTTTTCAAATATTCTTCTTCTTGTCGTGTCGATAATAAGAAACCTCAGCCCAAAACTCCGCTACAGAGTGGCGTTGACAGTAGCGTTCATTAAATCTTCCTGCGTCAGTTGTTTGGGCATAAAATTGTCCATAGATTTTATTTTTATTTTACAATTTTTGGAAAACTTACAGCTAAGTGTTACATTAAGACAGTAATGTTTATAATTAAAGTAAGATTACGCCCTTAAAGTTTGATCACTACATGCCCGGACACACTGTATAATCTGCGTATGGTTTATGAAATTGTTTGTAAAAATAATGACGAAATGACGTCTCCGTATGCGGTTTTGAGACCACAGTCGCGCAAAATTCCGGCTCCTTTTAGACTAATAGGGTAAGTGCGTTAGTTCTCGTCCAATTATCGGAGTTGCCAACTTTGTGATGCGAAATGAATATCTTAAAATACCCTTACTCATATGTATCATATGTCATTTTAGTCCTTATATAGTCTACTTTACGTTAATATTATATGACAATAAGTAAATACCACGGGTTTTTTTATAAAAAATATTTTATGCAAAAGAGGCGATTTCACTAGTTTTCGGCCAAAAAAATCAGTTTTCGTCCTAGTGTACTCTAGTTTTCGACCACTGTGTAGAAAAAAGGGTGCAGTTGAATTATTAACTTAAAACCAATTCTACAATACAGTAACTATGGATTGTGGTATATCATTTGAAAGGTAATTTTGTTAGCTTTCAAATGATATCAAAAAGATTTAAATAAGTTTCTTACCTAAATTTAGGAAAATATTGCAATAGGTCGAAGGACAAATGGACGAAAACTAATCTACAGGAATAGCTAATTTTGGTTTTCGTCCACCCCAGTGCTTGCTCATGACGTCATGGACGAAAACACAACAACGTTTAAAGCTGTTTTTTGTTTTCGTCCACATCTTTTTAACGGTTTTTATGGGTTTATCACTGTTAAAAAGTGGACGTAAACTAAAATGTTTAATGTAATAGCAATAAAGATCATATTGGAAGAAAAAACATTGTATTTTGTAGGTCCATTGAAGTAAAATGATTATTAAAAATATTAACTAGGTGTCAGGGTTTCCGTCCACGTGGACGAAAACCAAAATCTTGCAAAATTGTTATGCTAGTATTAGTCCACTTAATTATCTAAGATTTCTATACAAAAACTTTAATAAACCCTTAAAATAGTGTTTATTATGCTAATAATTAGACATAGGTGCCAAAAACATTACGTAAAGTAGCTAAAACAGTAATTAAACATATCATGAAAGTTCCCTACCGGCACGTTTTTTTCTAACTTGACGACGTTTTCCATTCACCTGTGTGCAGCAGCAACTTCCGTAGATTTTTTTGGAGTTATTACTTGTCAAATTACATTTTCATGCAGGCAGAACTGTTACTTAGATATTACAGATTGTAACAAGTCCAAACTTGCACGGAAAGTTAGGTTTGTATTCTAATTTTCCGTATTTGTTTGTGGCAAGTCGGTCAAATGGACGAAAACAGGAGCTGGACGGAAAACCGGCGCAATTACCCTACTCCAATCCAAGCAGGTACACGAAACGCGAGCGGTGATTAATTAGCAAATTACACGTGGCGCGTCTCTGTGTCGTCACGCGGCGCGGGCGTGCGCTCGCGGGTAGGGTTGCCAGGTCCAAAATCACAAAAGCCGGACTTTTTACCCTAAAAGCCGGACATGTGACGGGGGGGGGGGGGTGCAATTAGTTGTCAGTTCACGAGTGAGTACTATCATCATCGGTTACTATCCAACATCCTGATGCGTGTGCTTCATATGATTCTTTGGCTCGACTTTCGCCTGGCGCGGCAACCAAATAAAAAGCCTAATAAAAGCCGGACAGGCCGGACAAGGCAATATTTGGCCGGACAAGTCCCTAAAAAGCCAAACATGTCCGGCTAAAGCCGGACGCCTGGCAACCCTACTCGCGGGTGACCTCGCGGCGCGGGCGCAGCGCACGTCAAGGGCTAATGCACTTTTGTCGAACGGAAATTTTATGCGACACCGCCTATTCTTGATAGTTGATGTAGGAGCCAATAGACTTTAATCTTGCAGATATAATATAAAATCGATGGATATTGACACTGTTTTTACCCGACTGCGCCAAAAGGAGGGTTAAGTTTTTCAAGTGTATGTATGTAATGTATGTATATATCTTTGGCACGGCCTATAGCCTATCACCAATAAAATAGTTAGTCATTGATGCCTCCGACTGCATTTGTGAACACTAAGTTGTCTTGTTATTATCTTTTTAGTTCAT